TGCAAGTGGGTTTTCTACATGGAATACGCTCAGTGTTAAACCCAGCTAGATACTAAGGGGAGGGCTGTGAACCGTTGGCTTAGGGGAACAAAACTTCTCTGTGACTTAATTTCTCAATTAGACATGCCTGCCAGGTTCCTTTTTCAGGAATTTGTAGTATCTTGCTCCCTCTGGTGTCTGTCTTCTGCATTGTTACATGGTTTTGTTCCTGTTTTTACTGTTTTGGAACAATATCTCACACAATGCTGAGTTGGTCTTGGATTTGTTACATACCCGGGCCTAACCTTACCTCCTGGTTCTCTACCATCTAAGTGCTGGGGCTATAGGTGTAAGCCACCATGCACAGATGTGTGGTGTGTTCTTGGGTTCTACAATAGCAATCTGTCCCATTTACCCTTTTTCTAAGGTAAGCCAGCTTCCTGCCTGTGCTGTCTTGGGGCAAACAGCAGAACAGCAGCTTCTCAGGAAATCCTCCTGAGGCTGGGGTGTCACCCACACAGTCCATGTTCCTGTTCCGTCCTGAGGAGCATTTTTATTTACCTGGTTCACTCCACCTTCTAGACTCTGGAATTCTCAGAAACTGTACTAGGAAATCTGATTTTCTGCAAGTGAACAAGGGATGGAATTGTCATTTTACCACCGTACATCACCAGTATGTCAAATTCAGTTTTTGTTTCTTCAGAGTGAGGTTGGATATTTATTTAGTAGGTTATGGAAGAAAAGGGAAAAGGGGGAGGGAGAGAGAAGGGGGATGAGAAGAAAGAGGCAGAGTGAGAGAGAAAGGAGAGAAAAACAGAGAGAAACAAAGGGAGAAAGAGGGGTGGAGGAGCCATGGCAGCAGCTACCTCTTTGGGAGAGAGATGGAAAGGGAAGGACTCAGACTGGAAGCAGAAGGAAGATGTGCCTGCCTAGGTGGACAGGGGAGGGAGTGGGCGAGGCTCATCTCTTAAAGGGACAGGACAGACCATTACAGTGGTCACCATGAACTTATCCTTGCTGGTGATCTGAGGTGGCCACCATGAACTTGTCCTTGCCGGTTGGTGTCTGAGGTGGCCACCATGAACTTGTCCTTGCTGGTGTCTGAGGTGGCTACCAAGAACTTGTCCTTGCTGGTGTCTGAGGCGGTCACCATGAACTTGACAAATTCAGTTTTAACTCAGCTGATGAAGGCTTATAAAAATGAAAACCAAACATGCTGAGCAATCACTATTAGTAGTGTGATCCACTGGTTGTGAGTCATCCCCAACAGTTCTTACAGCCAAACGTCCAGAAAACATGCTCACATTGACTGAAGTAAGAGATAGTGATAATCATATTCATTTGTATCAGGCTTTTAATTTAGGAGAAAATAAAGCATGGCCACTTCCCTACTGCCCATTTCTAATGAGGTTTCCAAGTCTCCTAGATTCGATTGTTTTAGGTTCTTATTCAGCCCTGGATGGATGGCATCTGAAACCACACAAGCCCACACCCCTTTATAAAGTTCTGACACTGAGTCAGATGGCAGGCGGCCAGCAGCACTTGTATCTGACATTTACTACTTAGAACACTGAGACAGGCTTTGGAAGAAGAAAGTGACTGATCTGTGTTTAATAGTGTTTTTAAGGATGGTGTATTCTGGCTCCTTATACACTGAATGAAGGGCAGAGGACTCTAAGTTGTCCCCATGAGCTCCTGATTCCAGATGACGCGTGTTAACCCTTTGCTCTGGGCATCTTTTTGTGATACTTTAATCAAACAAAAAAAAATTCTTGACGTTCCCATCTAAATGGAATGTTTTCTCCAAATCTGTTGCTTTCACCTGCCGCAAACACCACTACAAAATATGCTGGTCACAAGACCATATCCTCCACCTTCCATCCTACATGTCCATGACAGAAACTCCTGCTGGCTCACGCTCTTCACGTGTGGTCAGTTCTTTTTATTTATTTTTGTTAGTTTTTTGAGACAGGGTTTCTCTGTTAACAATCCTGGCTGTCCTGGAACTTGCTTTGCAGCCCAGGCTGGCCCCGAACTCACAGAAATGCATCTGCCCCTGCCTCCCGAGTGCTGGGATTAAAGGTGTCTGCCACCATCACCTGGCTGCGGTCAATTCTTGAAAACCACCAGCCCACTTCTGACTCATTTTTCTCCACTTGAGATCCATGACAGATGACTGAACTCATTTAGGAGCACCTGACAGTGATCCCTACACAATTTGCGTGCACAGTGGACTGAGCAAAGCCGGGACTGTTTTCACAACCAGTTTTCTTGACTTGCACACCCCTCTCACTTCATTTCTGCTCACTATAGGTTCCTCCCAGTTCCATTTCACACTGAGATCACTTGCTCATAGATAATCGACTGCAGAAGAAGTCTTCTGCAAGCAGCTGTCACCCCAGTCCTCATGGGATGCTACGGCTGGTGCATGCTAGCAGTGGCCTTCACATTTCCAAGTCTGGTAGTAACCTGTGCCATGAGCCAGTTACTAAAAGGCATGGAAGTGTGGCGATATCTTGTTTGCACTCTAACAAAGTTTTCTGGAAGATCAGAGGGCAGAACTAGGCACTAGTTAACCATAGAGGTCTGGAGGTCTGCACAGACAGAAAGGAAGTGATATGGCTGGGTGGAGAGAGAAATATAAGGCAGGTTGGCCCTATATGGCTGAGTTAGCAAGGAAAGAGTTGGCTGTGGCTTGCTCCTTTATCTTTCGGCATTTGTCCTGACTTCTAGTTCTGGGTTTTTATTCATAGGACCAATTAGAACTCGTGCAACAGTTACGGACTTCTAAAGTATGTGCATCTGGAATTTAACCTTATTTAAATATTTTTACTGAGAGTGTCATGTGCACAATCTATTTTGATCATATTCACAAACTACGGGCTGATCCCTCTACCTTCCTCCCTCTGCTGTTGTTTTTTCTAACAGCCCAACTCGAGCTGCCCATAGCTGCATGGGTGTGGCACCACTCTTCGAGAAGGCTCTCTGCAGCAGTCATCTCATACTGGGATGCTGACTTATTTATCATGTGCAAAATCTAAGATATTAACAATGACAATTCTGGGGGTTTCCTAGAATTTGACTAAATGGAGGATTTGGAGCAGTAAGTAGCTTTGTCTTCAGATTTCTTTCCACCCGCCCATCACCAGGGCTGTCCAAATGTACTAACGGCAGATGCATCTGGGCTGTGTGTCTTCTCCCCACAAAGGCACGTGACTTCAGTATTTCCATAAATACAGTGAATCCACAGAGCATACGAGAGCCAGACTTACGTCAGGCTTCATGAAGCAACGAAGAGAACAGTTGGCACCAGGGCAAATATCAGAACATTTTGCAATTGCTTGGCTAATCACTGTTCTTCAGTGTAGAGTTGCCAGAACAGGGGCTGTTCTGTGTATGTAGAACCTACCTTACATACATGCAAGCGATCAAGAAAACCCACTGCTCAGAGCACGATGGCACAGGCATGCCTGCAGCACCCAACCTGGCAGGACTAACAGTGCAAAATGTCCCCGTGAGAGTGCACGTGAAACTGCTGAACGCCAGTTCCCGAGGAAAGAGCCCGTGCTAGCCATACGCTTACAGCGAGCCCCTATCAGCTCTTTTAGATCAAATACTTCCCTTCATTCCCAGGTCCACCAGAGAAATTAGGCAATTTTGATAGTACTTTACAAACTGATTCATAAGGAGTTCTCCTCTTCCCCCCATAACCATTAAATGCCGCACAAAGGCTTTCTTCAACATTTATTTGTGGAGTGACAGACCATTAGCTGCAGACTTAATGTCACCATGGTTGCAATTTGCATGTTGATGGAGAGTTAATGTAATGCGGAGATGTGAAATGAAGCTGGCTGGCTATGCCAAGTGGCCCTGCTAAGATCCATTTCTCTATCCTCATTAGTCCACGTTTTGGCTTCCTGTTTGTGCTTTCTCTCATTACTAACGAAACTGTAAAATATGTCCCCGAGGATGCATCTCACAGGCTCCTGGAAAACTGTTTATCAGTTCACAGAATGGAACTGTGAAGCCAGTGTATTCTCTCTCCATTGCAAGAAAGCCAGTGTCCTGCTTCAGCCGACCACAGCTCTGGCCGGGAGAGTGTGTGGATGCAAAAGAGAATGAAGTAAATGTCTCCAGGGACATTTACAGGCTAAGTTTACACGGATCCACAGGGGGGATTATTGTGGGAAAAGAAAAAGTGATATAAATTACCATTTTCTAATGATCAGAGAGTATGGGAGGGCCAAAGGATCTTTAAAACATACGAACAAACAAGTTATAGGTAAGTGGAAAGGGTCAAATTACTTTTATTATTTTTAATACAATGATAATTGTATATTTTTACTTTCTAGGGAGAGGTAAACAGAGAAGAGGGTCACTATGGAATCTGGTGACCTCTGGAGGCTCTGTCCCTCCATGCCTCACTGCCAGCATCTACAGACCAGACACCACCACGCACACCTTCATTTCACTTGAAGGAGAGGAAAATGATCACGCCTATCCCTGGTGTTGAGTTACTCAGCCAACAGCGGGGAGAGATGGCGGTCATGTTAGCATCTGTAGCTCAGATGTGAAAACACATGTTTCATGAGAACGCTGGCAAAAGTCTGACATGCTAGTTTGCTGTGTCAGGAGAAATGGCAGTCTCCCAGGTGACTGGGCAGATCTTTCCCACGATTAGGCCTCATTCATTGACATCAATTCACAGCTCCCTACAACTGTGAGCAGGGAGAATCCCCAGAGCAGGGCTGTTAGTCACTGACTACAGTAGACTCAGAGAAGCACAGGAGGGGAATGCACGGCTCATTTCAGAACCTAGGAGTCTTCCTAACTGTATCACGATCAGATGCGATAACATTTTCTTTGTATAAACGCGTTACTAGGAAGGGGTGAACCATCAAGTAAAGACAGGACAAATCCCGGGGAGTGAGCAAGTTTATACAAAAAAAGAAAAGTCACTACTTACCCTTACAGTGAAATAATTTTCATGTTCAAACGGAAGTAAAGAACAGCAGGCGATCCTCAGGCCTAGTAACATTTTATTGAAGGTCAGTCAGTCAATACAGATATGATCCCAGCCCTTCCCAGTAAGTGGCAATGTAACCTTGGGGTGAACCCTGAATGTCCCCAAGACTGATTCCAGCTTACTGGATGTAAACAGGTCTCCTACAGCCCAGTGGTACAGAGGACTCAGAAACTTGCTCTGACATGTTTCAGGGAAGCAGAAACGGAATTGGATGCAGTAATATTTCATTTGGATTTTAATAAATAAAGCTTGCCTAAACATCAGAACGCAAAGCAGCCACATTAGTCAGTCACACAGTTCAGGCAGTGGTGGTGCACGCCTTTAACCCCAGCACTAGAGAGGAATATAAGGCGGGGTGAGACAGGAACTCTCTCTTTCAGCCTGAAGATTTCATACAGGTAAGAGCTCTCTAGTGGCTTTGCTGCTTTGCTTTCCTGGTCTTCAGGCTGAACCCCAATTTTTGTCCCCGGGTTATTATTATTCGTGCTAGAACTGGAGTTCAGAATGAGTAAGTAGGGACTACACCTATTTCTAGGAGCCTAAAAAGATTGTAAATCAATGTTCCCACTCACACTGTTTATTTCAGAACTAGGCGGGAAAAGGCAACAGCAAACACAAACTGACCCGAGGACACAGGAGCAGAAGGCTGCAGTTCAATCACTCGTGGAAATGGAAAGGAGAAAAAAATATCCTTAGGCCCCCCCTTTAGCTAACTCTAGCTTCATGGAGACTTCTGATATCAAGCGGATGTGACGTGACTCATGAAAAAGGAACCGGATGAATCTAAGCAGACAGACAGACAGATGGGATGAGAGGAAGGCCTGGCAGGACTACGGAACCAGTCAGTCAGGCTGCCATGGTGAAAAGCTAAGCCCAGAAGTGTACAATGGAAGAAACACATGGGCGAACAGGCTCTGGATGGAGATTAGCAATGCCACCGGGTTCTCGGGAACTAACCTCTGTAAGGTTTTTAAACATCTCTTACAGTCTCTTCCTCAGAGGGGTGGTGTTGCTTGGGGCTTTGTACTGTGTCTGAGTTAAAAAGCCCCAGAAAACTCCTGTAGCTCTTATGTACAAGAGCAGCACAGATACTCTGCTATAGTGAAGGTGGGAAGCTGAATTGCTCACGTTGATGGGTCTGTGAATGGATGGCAATATGCAGAAGACAGCTCAGACAGTAACAACGCTGTTACTCAAGACACTTCCTACTTGGAGTTTTCTCTGGGGCTGCATTCATCAGGATGCCTGGGAAGCACTGTGATCCAGTCTCTACTGACCAAAACATTGGTTCTTTTTGTTTTAATAAGTAACCACAGTAGCTTAAAGTACAGGCAGATTATAATATACCACGTAACGAAACAAAGTGGGCTTTCTCCTCTAAAGCCTGCTGGATGGGTGCGCTCTGCTGCCGATGGCTCTTCCTTACAAACACCGACACCACCAGGCAGTCTGCACACAGCTTCCACAGCACTTCACAGGGTGACGTCACACAAGCCCTGATGGACAGGGGCCACAGAAGAAGCAGTCCAACCCTAGGAATTGAGAACTGAGCTGCTCTTTGAATACTACTGTAGGTAGCCTTTAAAGGGACAGAAAATTTCTCATATTAGCTATTTTGGTATCAACCGGAAAATAACAGATATTCCTCATAGCAACCAGCACACTCCGTGGGGATTTGATTCACATTAAATATTCTCAGACCCTGTAGTATTAAAGCCGGCAAACATTCCAGGTTAGTTACAAAGGGCCTGGGCTATGAGGAGGGAAGGAGGAGCCAAGGAGTCTGAAAGCATTTGTTCTGAGTTTGAAGCGCCAAGGAGTCTTCATGGACTCCATGGTCTCAGACTCTGACGGGCTATTGCACTTGGGACATGCAAGACTCGTGTGTTCCAAGCATGGAGGCTGTAGCATCAGAAGCTTCCTAAGAACAAGCATGCTTGTCCAAAGTTCTGTTCTCTTAGAAGCTCTTGGTCATAGCATCTCCCTTCCCACCTTCTTCGTAAGCATAAGCAGAAAAGACCAACGTTCAGACCAATTGACAGAAGGGGTGACAGTTGGCTCTCGGGCACAGTCAGTGAGTAAGGAGAACGTAAGCCAAACTTCTAAAGGAGTTGAAGGTCAGGCTGGAAACCTGTCTGAGCAAATGCACACAGAAAATCTTTTTCCAATCTCATATGAACACTGAAGGACAAACTCTTTTAAACAAAACATTTCCAGATATTAGCAGAAAACAAGGAACTGTTGTGGTGAATTAGCTTTCAGGTCAGGACACACATCAGAATCACTTTTAAGTTTTGGTAACATTGCTACAATACAGTGTATTTCTAGTTCAGACAGGAAACTAGAAGATTAAAAAAATGTCATAGACATAGTTCCAAGTCTAATCTGCAATTCTTAAGTTTTTCTTCCAGAAGCATATGTTATATTTTTGTCTTTTTTAATAATCAACCATTTGGAGAAAACCAAGTTATAAAACTACTCTCTGTAGGAAAAAAAAAATATTCAACAGAAGAGATAGAAGGCAATGTTCATCAATGGCCATTTACATCCAACCCCTATCTACCTGCACCGAGTGTGTGTGTGTGTGCACGTGTGTGTGAGCACGTGTGTGTGTGCACCTGTGTGCTGGGACAGATCCTAGCGCTTCTTGTGCGCTAAGAAAGTGTCTACCACTCAGCTATACACTAGACCTCTCTCTTCTCTGCTTTGAAACATGGGCCCACTAAGCCACTCAGGTTGGCCGTTACTTGTAATCCTCCTGCCGCAGTCTCCTCAGTAGATGGGATAGCATGCTACCAGGCATGGTTTACTGAGTTTTTAGAAAACATTTTAAGGAACGGTGCTGTGGGAACTCCTTTATGGGCACACTTTGGGCGTGGTCTCATGTACTATAAATGCAGACAAAAAGCGTGCATGACCCTTTATTCTGCTGGATTCGGCTGTAGTTTCCAGCACACACAGAGAACTGTGGATCGCTCCCTTCCTCTGAGTTTTTCCTCAAATAAATAAACCTTTGTTATACGCCGTTCACGGCTCTTGTAGAACTCTTCTGTATGCCAACAGAGCACTGGTGCATAGTTACATTCATAAAATTAAATAAGAGTAAGGCTTCCTCCAATACATGTATATCACAATAAAATACTATACTTGTCAATCATCCTTCCTTTTGGAAGAAAATTAAGATGGCTTTTACTTTTTTTTTTTTTTTTTGGTTTTTCAAGACAGGGTTTTTCTGTGTAGCTTTGGAGCCTGTCTTGGAACTCGCTCTGTAGACTAGGCTGGTCTTGAAGAGATCTGCCTGCCTCTGCCTCCTGAGTGCTAGGATTAAAGGTGTGTGCCACCACCGCCCGGCTTCACTTATACTTTTAAATAAAAGTAAATAAAAAAAGGAAGGCGCTGAAATGCTGAAGACAAATTATGGAAATAAAAACCCAACTACATCAAGTACACAGTTTCATTCTGCTCTTCAGAAGCAACAGAAACACTTAGCCCAGGCTGGAAGACACACAGGGGTCATGCTGCAGGGGACACACTTTCCCTTCAGAGTTCAAATGCAGGGAACTTAGCCTTGCTGGGGACTAGTAGGTCAGCCAAGAAATAGATTGTTCCAGCCATCCCTAGAAGACGAGAAAAAGGCACAAGTTATTACACCAAATGGCTTCATTTTATAAAGTGACTTTATTTTTTTCTGTTTTAGTATCAACATTATGCTAAGGCATGCAGTGCATGTCTACATCAAAGACCCCTAGAGGGTCTTAGAACAGACAGAATGGAGGCAGACAAATTCAAGCCATTTGGCCATGTGGGAGTTCCTTCACCACAGCACTGTGGCCACTGCCCTCTCTGAGGCTCTGCATCCATGACTTAGCATAGACCTCCTGGCCTCATAAATGGTGGTCAACATTACAGCTATGAATATTAAAGTCTGAGGTGGCATGCCTGCTAATTAATTAATAATTTTTGACACAGGGTTTCAAAATGGCTAAATGGCAGATGATGACCTTGAATTGCTGATCTTCCTGCCTCTACTGTCTCCATCCCGAGTGCTGGGATTGTAGCTGAGACTATAGGTGTGTGCCAACATGCCCCATCTATGCAGTGTGGAGGAGGAATTCAGGCTTCACAGAAACTAAGCAAACGCTCTAACAGGTTAGCTACATACCAGCCTTGCTAACTGATCTGACCTATCAGGAAATAAGAAAGTATATGTTTAACAATAAACTGTAAAGACCAGTTTGTTGCCTCAACTGGAATTCAAACACATTATCACCGAGTAGAGTAGCAGTTGATGATATAAGAAGGTAAGGTATGTGTGAAAAATACCTTCGAAGAGGGAGAAGGGGGTATCCGGTGTCCTGCATCCGTGTTCTCCATAATCTAAGCACCACTCAGCAAACTGAAAATGAGATGAAGTTCAATAACTGCAGTGATATCCTCAGAAACCTTGGAAACTCGTGAAAATTCTGGGTTACTTTGACAAATTCCAAAACTACCAAGTCAGAGATGAGGGGTTGATTTTGAGAAACCGGTGATTTGAAGGCAGGTGCATAGCTTGGGAGGAATTCAGCAGCAGGGAGAGCCACTGCTGTCGATGGTAACAATGAGCAAAATGCCTCCTCGTCTTTCCCCCACAGACGTCCCAGCAGAATCTGCCCTTTACAGGAATGTGAACATAGCCAAATCCTTCCTGAAAACCTTTCTTAAAGAACATGTGTGTTACCTCTAAGCTCATGGACATAATATAAAGGAACTGACTCAGTCTCGACCCTTACCTTACAGGCCCTGTACAGGAACTTCACATCTTGTGTGAGGTTGAAGAGAGCCAGGAAGGCATATGCATTCCCTGCAGCACCATGGCACAGCCCATAGCCCTTCTTCAGCAGTCCGTACTGCCAGACCACATCAGCACACCGGTAGGCATCACAGAGGTACTGCTCCTCTTTGAACACCTGCAGAGTCAAGGGACACACATCAGTCCCATCATCTGGGGCAGAAAGGAAAACCCTCCAGGTAGCCCTTTCTTTCTTTCTTTCTTTCTTTCTTTCTTTCTTTCTTTCTTTCTTTCTTTTATGCTTGGGAGGTAGGTTCTGGTTTCTTTTTATTTTATTAATTATTTATTAAAGATTTCTGCCTTCTCCCCGCCACCGCCTCCCATTTCCCTCCCCCTCCCTCGTCAGCCCAAAGAGCAATCAGGGTTCCCTGTCCTGTGGGAAGTCCAAGGACCACCCACCTCCATCCAGGTCTAGTAAGGTGAGCATCCAAACTGCCTAGGCTCCCACAAAGCCAATTCATGCAGTAGGATCAAAAACCCATTGCCATTGTTCTTGAACAATTTCTTGAATTTTGCATACAAATGGACAAAAATAGAAAACACTATCCTGAGTGAGGTAAGCCAGACCCAAAAAGAGGAACATGGGATATTCTCACTCATATTTGGTTTCTAGCCATAAATAAAGGACATTGAGCCTATAATTCGTGATCCTAGAGAAGCTAAATAAGAAGGAGAACCCAAAGAAAAACATATAGGCATCCTCCTGAATATTAACCTTCATCAGGCGATGAAAGGAGACAGAGACAGAGACCCACATTGGAGCACCGGACAGAAATCTCAAGGTCCAAATCAGGAGCAGAAGGAGAGGGAGCACGAGCAAGGAACTCAGGACCACGAGGGGTGCACCCACACACTGAGACAATGGGGATGTTCTATCGGGAACTCACCAAGGCCAGCTGGCCCGGGTCTGAAAAAGCATGGGATAAAACCGGACTCGCTGAACATAACAGGTAGCCCTTTCTGAAGGAACAGCAAGGCGGGAAACCAAAGGAGGTGAGGCAACAAGAAAACAGGAATGCAGTGACAGAAGGTGTGGTACTGCCAGAGACAAATTCTTTTTTTTTTTTTTTCCAGGCTTCATAAGTATTTTTAATTGATTTAAATTTCTTAGGAACTTGGCAATTAAAATATTTCTTTGCTTTCAATATCTTATCGAATACAGGCTTAATTGGTAACAATAGATTCATTCCCTAGATACATCAGCTTAATGGTTTAGAAACAACTCCATACATATGTGAAGTACATATATATAATTTGTATATGTGTATTATATTTTAACTTTCTAGTTAAAATAAATAGAATAGAAATTGTCCTATTTTAACTTTACAGTTTATCTATGAAATATAATATCTGAAATGTAAGGAGGTACATCTGTCTCTTTCTCCTCCCTCTCTCACATGTACAGCCACACAAAAGCAGACATTCCCACGGCAATAGCTTTAATGATATTAAAGAACCATATTACATCTCTTTTTTTTTTTCAAGGACAGGTGATACTATAAACAGCTCCCAGTAAGAAACTCAACCCCAGGCATGTTAAAAGTTCAAAATTCCAAGTAGCAGTTAAAGACTACCACTACCAGTTTAAACTATGAGCTACTATGCAACATATCTTTCCCCGACAAGATAGTATTCAGAGACACATTCTTAATGTTGACTGGTATCACAGCGAGGTTTCTGTCACTTGAGGCGAGCCTAGGCACACCTGGGAAGAGGAACTGTCCTGATCAGATGGCCCATGGGCATGTCTGTAGGGTGCTTCCTGGACTGCTGACTGGTGTGGATGGCCCAGCCCACTGTGGGTGGTACCATCCTGGCAGGTAGTCTTGGCTTGTATAGAGAGCAGGCTGAGCCAGCTAGGGGAGGGGAAATAGTAAACAGTATTTCTGCCTCCAGGTTTCTACCTTGGTTTCCCTTATGGTGGACTAACCTATAAGCCACACAAATCTTTCCCTGCTCAAGTTCCTTGTAGTCAGTGTTTTATCACAAAGACAAAAGAGCAAACTAACACAACTAGCTTGCTTTTAAACACACCTGGGTCTGATCTTGTGTGTGTGACTGACGCCGCAGCTGTACTCAGCTGGCCACTTGTTCTCATCACCAGTCCCTCTCCAAAGAACGCACGGCAGCTGCTGAGGGACGTGACACCCTCCACCATTGTGTGTGTGTTATATGAGTGCGTGTGTGAGTGTGTGTGTTATATGAGTGCATGTGTGTGTGTTATATGAGTGCATGTGTGTGTGTGTTATATGAGTGTGTGTGTGTGTTATATGAGTGCATGTGTGTGTGTGTTATATGAGTGCATGTGTGTGTGTTATACGAGTGCATGTGTGTGTTATACGAGTGCATGTGTGTGTGTTATATGAGTGTGTGTGTTATATGAGTGTGTGTGTGTTATATGAGTGCATGTGTGTGTTATGAGTGCTTGTGTGTGTGTTATATGAGTGTGTGTGTGTGTTATGAGTGCTTGTGTGTTATATGAGTGTGTGTGTTATATGAGTGCATGTGTGTGTGTTATATGAGTGCGTGTGTGTGTTATATGAGTGCGTGTGTGTGTGTGTTATATGAGTGCATGTGTGTGTGTTATATGAGTGCATGTGTGTGTTATATGAGTGCATGTGTGTGCGTGTTATATGAGTGTGTGTGTGTTATATGAGTGTGTGTTATATGAATGCATGTGTGTGTGTTATATGAGTGCATGTGTGTGTGTTATATGAGTGCGTGTGTGTGTTATATGAGTACATGTGTGTGTGTTATATGAGTGCATGTGTGTGTGTTATATATGAGTGCATGTGTGTGTTATATGAGTGCATGTGTGTGTGTGTTATATGAGTGCATGTGTGTGTGTTATATGAGTGTGTGTGTTATATGAGTGTGTGTTATATGAGTGCATGTGTGTGTGTTATATGAGTGCATGTGTGTGTGTTATATGAGTGCATGTGTGTGTTATATGATTGCATGTGTGTGTGTTATATGAGTGCATGTGTGTGTGTGTTATATGAGTGTGTGTTATATGAGTGTGTGTGTTATATGAGTGTGTGTGTGTTATGAGTGCATGTGTGTGTTATATGAGTGTGTGTGTTATATGAGTGTATGTGTGTGTTATATGAGTGCGTGTGTGTGTTATATGAGTGTGTGTGTTATATGAGTGTGTGTGTTATATGAGTGTGTGTGTGTTATGAGTGCATGTGTGTGTTATATGAGTGTGTGTGTGTGTTATATGAGTGCATGTGTGTGTTATATGAGTGTGTGTGTTATATGAGTGCATGTGTGTGTTATATGAGTGCATGTGTGTGTGTTATATGAGTGTGTGTGTGTGTGTGTTATATGAGTGTGTGTGTGTTATGAGTGCGTGTGTGTTATGAGTGCGTGTGTTATATGAGTGTGTGTGTTATATGAGTGCGTGTGTGTGTTATGAGTGTGTGTGTGTTATATGAGTGTGTGTGTGTTATATGAGTGCGTGTGTGTGTGTTATATGAGTGCGTGTGTGTGTGTGTTATATGAGTGCGTGTGTGTGTGTTATATGAGTGCATGTGTGTGTGTTATATGAGTGCGTGTGTGTGTGTGTGTTATATGAGTGCGTGCGTGTGTGTGTGTGTGTTATATGAGTGTGTGTGTGTGTGTGTTATATGAGTGTCTGTGTGGGAACCGATGAAGGCCAAAGGTCAACGTCAGGTGTTTTCTCTAATTGCTCCCCACCTTAATTTTTGAGATAGGGTCTCTTACTCACCCTGGAGGTAAAGGACTGGGCAATACTAGCTGGTCCGGAAGTACTAGGAATCTTTCTGTTTCCAACCTCCCTGCACCAGGATTGCATTTTATGCACAGAATTCAGTGGCATTACTTACAGTCATGAAGTTGTACACACAATATCACTTCCATCTTTATCACTAGACTTCAAGCAACAGGCCCTCTTTCCCTGCTCGATACTTCCTGACCCTGACACCTTCTACTTCCTGTCTCTATAAATTTTCCTGCTGGTCATCACTCCATATAGGTCTAATTTCCCCTCCACTGCATCTCGGAGTGTCTATTTTGTTTGCTGAGAGTATTGTAGTGTATATTCCACTGCCCTTTCAGCAGACACTGCTCCCCCGATGCCCACACTGGACTTTATCCGTACATTCGTCTCCTGATGGATGACGGATGTTTTGATATTTTCACATTCTGGCCCTAAAGGAACAGCAGCTGCATGTTTCTCTTTCAATTATTTTAAAATTTTTTCTTTTGGCATAAGCCTGGAAGAGGAATGCCTAGGTTACATGTTCAGAACTTGATCTCTGAAGGGTCAACAATCTATCTGCTCAGAAGTTGGAGCATTTCACACTCTTGCAGCAAAGTGTGAGAATATTCTGTTTATGGCCACGCTTCTGGGGTAGTGATCTAGGCTCTGCTACTTCTGTTGTCACCTTGGTTACTGTGGTAGTGAAGTGTTAGGAGATGGTGCCCACTGTGGTGGGACGGACACTGAGGATGGATGCCAACCCATTCAGCACAATAACCTTAGACTTAGCAGCTGATTCATAATCCTTTAACGATTATGAGGATTGTGTTAACTTACAAAACCATCTGGTATGTATTTTCAGTTCCTGTTAAATAAGAAGGCATGAGGTACCTTGTAGGCCTGAATGAGCATGTAGATGACCCCAGGAGCACCGTGGCACCAGTGGACAAGCAGGTCTCTGGTATCATCCAAACATGGGGGGTAATTGCCAGAAGGGAACTTCAGCTGACAGACAAAGTCTACACTGGGCTTCACCAAACTATGTAACTTGGCTTGGCTCACATGAAGGCTGGGCTAAACATGAGAAACAGAATTATTAGTTCTGCTGAAGAAAAATACATTCCCAGACCTCAAAATGAGTTTTAAATTAGAAAAAACAAAACAAAACATGACTAATAGGAAATCTGAAGTAATTAAAAGGCTTTATATCTCTTCCACTATTTTTCAGTTGCTGGATATTGTTTTCATTTTCTGTTTTATAATTTTAAAGTAATGGAACAAATCACAATTGGGCTGCTAATTAAGTCTTAAAGCCTTCTGTACACACCATTTCCAGTGTCCGCTGTTATGGACATAGGCACAAGTACTTTTCCTAAGCCAGTGCTTGCAAACAGACGTGAAACAGATGTTTGTCAAGTTCAGAGAAGCACTGACCACCAACTTTGGCTCCCTCTTTCTGACAGAGAGGTGGTGGGTGCTGCCTACACCAGGGAAGGGCATGGGGCTGAGGCCCGACGCACAACTGCAGTGTGGATCAACACCACTGGAAATGACCTGTATATGGCTCACTCTACTATGAGGACATAGAGGCTTATATGGCAGTGTGAGGCAGGGCACACAGACATCACTTAGGATATTGTTATTTCTCTTTCTGATCCTGTTCTTGATTCAATGCCTTGCTCATTCTTTAAAAGAGACATTCAAAGTACTGCACTCCAGGCATGGGGTAGGGTGTGTAGGGTGAGGGGTACACAGCGCTGGATGCTCCTCTCTGGATACGGTACTAGAATACATGATGCAGTGTGTTCTCAGGGCTCTGTGGTCTTCAAGATATCTAAGAATAGTACTGGACATAAAGAAGAGTATTCAACAGAAAGTATTAAAAGCAGAGTGAACCACTCTCCAGGAATTATCCAACATGGCCTAGAAGTAATACTGTCCAATTTTACACTGCTATCTAGCACATTCACAAATGGATTTTCATTACTAAAAACTTCATCTTTTCGAAAAGATAACAACCTGGAAATTGAAAAATCAATACTGTAGTTTTCAGACTTCTTATTAGAGCTAATAAAAAGAGGCAGGGCAGATATCTCTTGACTATCAGATTTAATGACAGGTCAACAAGGCCACCCATTCACTGGCATGTATGACTTGAAAACTCAGCCTGAATGTCAGGAGACACAGCCTGCCTTTCACAAAAGCTTCTCCAGAGATTAATCCACGTGTAGTTCTAGAAATGAGAGTCACTGAGGGAGCAGTCCAGAAAAGGTGCTAACTATACAACTTCTAATGGAAAACAGAATAAATAAATAAATAAATAAGTACAGGTTCTCCTCTGATCGCCGCTCCCAAATGGTGACTGTATTTAAAAGCCATCATGGGCTGAGCACTGGTTGTATTTTTCCGGTCAGACAGCACTGTGTACGCCCACACATGCATGCTGCATGCACGAGTGCAGCACCTCCCCATGCGACGCTGCACTTTGTCAAGGGGAGCCAGAGACCTCTGCTGCCATCAAGAATCCATTTTCTTCTGCCACAAATTCTCATTTGTAAATGCCAATTGTTCCCTTAAAATGGCACCCTCTGAGTTATCTTTCTGACCTCTTAAGTTCTATTTTTCTTCAGACTTTCTAAGTTTGGTTGATGTCTCCCAAGACTGTCAGAACTAAGAACTATGGGGCACAGCACTTTCTGCTTTTTTCAGGCAAATCAGACAAAATCTACCAGAAAGTCTTCGTGGCTTTAATCCCTTGGTGAACCATAGGCAGTGTGTGCTCATTTGGTTACTCCTAGAACTTCTTTCATTAGGTTGTTCTTTATAATAATAGGGAATGATACTTGTAATTCAAGGCATTTTCTGAGAGCAGAGCAAAGAGCACTCATATGGAATTAGATGCTCCAGGGGCCCTCGGTGAGTTCATCTGGGAACCTGGTACCTCCCCCAGGATGGTGTCTTCATGCTTTCACAACTGAAGGTGCACCCTGGCTACAGCACTTTTGCTGAGGTCAGGTGACTGAGAGGGGTGTGACAGTGACTGGCAGAGGGGTAGATGTACTAGGACCCGCTCCCTACCCAACACAGTGCACGTGGGGGTTACAGTACTAGGATCGTCTCTCCTTAGGCATCCCTTACCTGCATTAGATAGTAATAGATTCCTGCCAGGCCATGAGCAGCTCCCACGTAATATTCCTGGTACCACTCATACATCAGTGGAGACTTTGCTGTGAAGTTTCTCTTTCTAGCTAGGTTTTCTCCAGAACTTAAGATTGTTTCACAAATCTGCAGGATGAACGCCAAACAAAATAACAATACAATTAGACAAAAAGTGTGCTTGGCAGAGGCAAGAAACTTTTTGTTAAGAAGTACCGAATTACTGGTAGGGAATAAGACAGCATCTTCCACCAGAAAGGATACAGCTCCCTTCTGAGAAGTGTGAATGCATATTCTGCCTATAACATGGTTCAGGAGGACCCTCAACTCTTTTTACTATCATTTTAAAAAACCTACATGTTTTTCAAAAAAAAAAAAAAAAAAAAAAGCACAAACTCCTCTAGATACCAAAGGAGATCCTTGCATCTGCGAGATGAGATCTGCCCTCTATCTCCCCCAGAAAGGGCCTCTGAAGTATCAAATGGAGCAGGACAGCCTCTGACTCCTACTGCTCCCGACAGGGCTTCCCACATACTGACTGTAGCTGTTGGCTCTGTGTGCCTGACCTACAGAGGTCAAGATACACATGGTCTTTCTACATGGGCTGTGCTAACTGGAGAGACAGAGTGTGTAAGAAGATGCCTAAAATCACCCCCTAAAGCCCACGAAGCTGTATTACCTGCTGAATATGGCTCTGAGGGATCTTCTCCTCTCCAAAGTTCTTATTGACAAAAAGCAGAGCGAAGATGTAGCCTATGCGGCCATAGAGCATTTCATTTGGTGCATGGGGATCAATCTTATTTAGGTGCATGAGCCTAGGAACAGAAACACATGGCTGTGATCATCTGACAGGGATCAGACATTAGCATGTAAAACGGTCCACTAAAAAATATGTACACCGATACATAAACATACATATCTAAAATCAGCTTAGCTGCCATCCCAGCATTTAGCCTAGACTAATTGACATTTAAGAGTGCCACTGGCTTTAATCAAACACTTGCCATGTCCCACTCATCTCCACTGCAGCCTGATCTGCCACAAGGAGACTGCATGAGGCAAGCGGCACAGAGCCCTTTAGCTCTTATTCTTAGAAACAACCTTGACCACCAAGCTGTATCGATATGAGAATGTATGTATCTCTAGATTTGTGTTCATACAAGCACAAATACATGTATGTATCAACATAAATTTAACCCAGCAATGTTCTGCAACACCCTTCGTAGTCCTTCCCTGTTGAGCACACACAGAGTAGTTTCATTCCTTAAAAGTTGTAATATAATTTATTTGGTTCTTATTGATGGACTCAGTGCAGCTTCTCAAAGTTTTAATGGGTTCTGTTCCCAGTTAAGGAGCGGCAAGTAGACACTATCCTTCCTTCTCTCATTAAACATAACTCCAAAAACCTAGACAAAATACACATGGCAGCTTAAAGACTTTAAAAGGAAATAGCAGCAGATACCTGGGGCAGAATCTGGGATAATAGATCGGGGGTGTATTTCCCCTTTCAGTATTCCCTTGGCCTGAACTCAGTACAGCCAAACACACAGAAGTGGGTAGCAGTGGGCGAGAGTGAGCCCAGAGGAGTTTTGTCTGAACAGGAAGGGAGGGTCATCAATAAAGGATTAGAATGGGTAAGGCCTTGTTTCTCTCTCTGGTTGTCTTATAGCCCAGAAAAGAGGCATCTTAAGTACCAAGGTGAAGCAACAGCATCGGGAACCCATAGGAGTTGAAACTCCGAGGAAGACTAGAGGCATTGTGGTTCCGGGAGAGGGTTAAGCCCTACTTACCTCTAATTTCTGCGTACTTAGCCCAGAAGCAGGCTCAGTGAGAAAACATGTACAGCTGGTCAACCATACTCCAGGCAACCAGGAAGTAGGGGAAGACCCCACAGAAGGTACGCTTGGAAGGCTCCACAGATTACAGACAGCTTCAACTCTGAGAATGAACCTTTATATGAGTTGTGGGGTTTTTAGTTTTTGTTTTTTTTTAATTCTTAAGTTTTGATACAGGGGTTCTTTGTATAGTCCTGGCTGTCCTGGAACTTGTTCTGTAGACCCGGTAGGCCCCACAGAGATCTGCCTGCCTCTGCCTTCCCAGTGCTAGGACTAAAGATATGAACTACCACTGTCTGGCTGGTTTAAACTTTTTAATCACATGGAGTTTTGAAACTATAACTCAATTTTCTCTAAATTAGTCTATGAATTTCAATGTTATCACACACATTTAATAAAGTGTTATTAAAACGTTTAAATTTTTGTCAAAACTCGACAAAGTGATATTACTGTGAAACATCAGGGATTTTCTGGAAAATCAAATAATATCCGGTATTTTATGATATACTAAGTACATTTCACCTTTGCTCCTCTAGTCTCTTATCTGTGGTTGTGCTGGACTGTGAGCTTAGTGTGTGTGCCTAACTTGATTTTACACTCAAATGTTTGAACAAGTTTGTAGTATTATGAGTCACAAGGAGTGAATGGTTATATATGAAATATTGTAACCAGGGATCAACAGTCATAGGGACACAACCCTTTCTATCAAAATCCATAGACTGCTTAACAAAAGCAGTAAGAGTGTGAGAAAATGGCTTTCTTGGTGGGATGAGCTGACAAGGTGTAGGCTGTGTACAGCCTTTCTTGTCTGCTACTACTTAGTCTAGGACACTGTGGCTTTCTCTGAGCTACAAAAGCAGGTCATGAAGCTACCATGTGCTCCTCTTCCTAATAAAGATTTGCCCATTCAGTAGAATGAGGCCCTTGCCTTGGCTTTTATTTTCACACAGTCAGGAGTCAGAGTGCAGCTGAGGTGGTATACAGTCACGGCCTCTGGAGACTAATAATATACCCATACCCAGATCAAGACCACAAGAAACGCACATGGATCCCTGATAACTGCTCCTACAAGGCCAGATGCACATCAGGACAGACAGTAAGGGACGATAGCTGTGCAGGACGATTGTCTGTGAGGAAGCAAATGTCTCCCTCCCCTCCCTTCTCTACCACTTCTATCATGAGCAGGAAGAGAGAGGCACATGCTGCCTGCAATGAGAGGGCTTGTCCTGTAGCCAGAATGACATGAGTTTGTGACTAAAACAGCCGACAGATATGGGAGAAAGGTTCAGGGAAGGCATAAAGGATTTGTGTTTTTAAAAATTAAGCAAAAACAAGGTTTACTCATTTTCTAAGTGTTTCACTTGAATTATGCATGTGCACTACACCTGTGCCTGGTACCTACAGTGGTCAGAGAAGGTATGGATCCCCTCGAGCTGGAATCATGGAGAGTGTGAGTCACCCTGTGACCTCTGGGAACTGAACCCAGGTCCTATGCAAGAGCAACAAGAGCTCGCTCTTCTCTTAACCACTGACCCATCTCTCCATTTCTGGTACATTTTTTTTAAAGTGAGCACTTGTTCTTTGATACAAAAAAAAATATGGGTCTTCGGAAGAATGTCATATTGCAAGAAATTGATGTACCTCAAATTAGCAAAACATATAAATGCTAGCTCATATTTTCCCTTTATTCCTTTTCACAATTATAGGAAATAAAGTGACAGGGTTACCATGGCCAGAAGTTTCTATTTCCTTGTAATATACTGTAATACTGTCAAAGCTTTGATCAATGCTAACAGGGTTGTCTGAGTGGTAGAACAGCGGCTATGTTGTTTTAGACTTCTCTCCACCCCCAAACTCCCACCACCTTCTTGTTGCAGTGCTAGGGACACACCCAGTGTCTTGGGCATCATCCTGAGTTACATCCTCAGCCTCCAATTTTACTTGTACTCAAAAGAAAATACAAATGGCAGTGTGTGTGTGTGTTTGTGTGTGGTGTGTGTATATGTGTATGTGTGTGCGTGTGGTGTGTGTGTATGTCAAGGTCAATCCTGGTAGTAACAAACTAAAAGAAAAATTGACAGCATTTTTGGACTACTGAATAAGGTTACTACTACAAATACTGGTGTTGGCTAGGCTGCATGGTATATAGATGTATGTATGTATATACGTATGTATGTATGTATGTATGCTTGTTTGTTTTCTTTTCTAGGAGGTGAGCTATTTCTAGATGGCTGCCTAAGGTGTCTTACGTGTCTTGTGATCCAACAATCTTGATTCCCGGGGTCTTGCAGTATATATCCATGCAGACCTTTGAGTAACACAAATGACTGGCACATTTACTCTACATCACCCTCCAGTGATTCTACAAAGGTTCTTCTGTTAGGACACATGCCTAGCAGTCAGGCAATTCAAGGCTCTTAGGAACAGCGGCTTCAGAGCCGAGCGCGCTGGCACACACTGAAGCACAAGCCCAGCAGTAGGGGAGGCGGTGTCAGTCCACTGTCATCCGGCTACACACATGCTCCCTCTGGAGAGGGAAGATCTGGAAGGGCAATCAACATGGCCTCAGGCAGAGGAGCTCAGCCAGCCCCTCAATCTCAAAAGAACTTAAAAGCATTTGCCAAGAAAACCATTATTTTTTCCCTTCCAAAAGAAATTGTACCCGAATAACATTGGGGCCAAATAACCAAATCTGTCTGCTACATACAAAATCTGCTGCTGCAGTGGCCAGAACAGGTGCCTCAAGGTCAGATCAGAATACTTCATCAACTTCTAATACAAAGGCATCAATCCTATAGACTTTGGGAATAAAAACCAACTTGATTTACTTTTTTGCAAAGGGACTGAAGAAACTATTCAAAAAGGAAAACGTTGGTGTCATTTCTGCTCTAGGAAGTATTGTGAGATTACTGCATTCACCAATGATCCTACTAAAATAGAAATTGAACTATTGAGTTCCAAAAATGCCAGTGTTCTCACCCACACTACCACTCGGTGGCAATATACAAATTAACATTGTAAAACCAAATTCATTTGCACGAGGCAAATGGTACTACAGTTTAAATGTTTACAGACAACACCCTGTTCAGAGCCAACATCGCCTAAAATTAGCGTTTAGGCTAACAGAGGACATGGTGCATTTATTTTCTGGATCTGAAAGCAGATTAGCAGCACATATTAGCTGGTTCTGGTTACTAAAGGTAGGGCTTGAAGCTGTGCGCGTCACATGCTACATTCTAAGATAAAATAATGAGGTCATTTGAAAATCGTAATGGTTATTTTATGTCTTTTTGGAAACTCTCAAGCCCACAAGTGTATCGCTGAGGCTCCGGTTATTTGTTTGGATAAGCTGATAATAATTTCTGATTTATCACACTACGACACACATCTCCTCCTCTGTCCAAAAAGTCAGTTCCTCACCATCCTAGGGACCGACCTCAGCATACTAAGATCTGCCAGGCTGGTGAGTCACTATGAAACAGGCGAGGCTCTCTACTGTGCTCCTGACACCCAACTGTGTAGAAAGGACCTACAGGGTATTTACCAGACAGTGGAGAACCAGGAGAGGTATTGTCTCACCCAGGCCATTGGCAAGACAACAGGACTGTTTGTAGTCACTGCTTGTCAGTCATCCCCTCCAACCTCTCCATCCTCCTCCATTCTGGAAGCCAAAGATCCTCAGAGGCAAGTTTAAGAACTAAAGCGTAATGAAACTATTTCTTTGGACTCCAGTTTCTTTGTCAAAACATTACTTTTGTATATTAAAGGCATGTTTGCTCTTTCAAACTCAAAATCCTGATTTTGAGAGCTCATTACACCAAGAAAATGCTGGAAAGGTAAAAGGATGGTGCAGTCAATGGAACACAAGAAAGACAGTGCTGAAGAAATGAGTGTGATACACCCTGAAGACGTGACACCAGAAAAAAGGCTCACTAAAAAGCAGGCATGCGGATTCAATACCTGACAGAAGAAAATAATTCTGGACAAGAAACTCAAGCGGAGGAATTTATGCCACACAGAGGAAGGGAGGAGATGTGGAAAGTGATCAAGCACTGCAAGTCCAGAGAGATCATGCAGTAAGAAGCCAGGCAGTCAAAGCTGTGGCCACAAACTGTAACAGTCTTCCCTTCAGTCACATCTGTATACGTATGTGAGTATAGAAGTAATCACACACACACAGACAGACAGACAGACATACACACACACACACACTTTTTTTTGTTTTGAGACAATCTTAGGCTGTGGACGAGGCCCAGAGTGGCCTTCAGCTTGTAGAAATCCTCGGTCCTCAACTTTCCAAGTGCTAGGGATTATGGATGAGACCCACCACGCCTGATCTCACATTCTGTATTTTAATTCTATGTAATGAGTTTGCTGGCTATAAGTAAAATATTCTTAAAATGTCGTAATTTTTTTAATAATATGTAAATCACAAAGGGTGCTTATAACCAAGGAATCAAATAAGCAATAAACAAGTCTTAGTTTACTCATCTAGCAAGGCTGTTTGCATGCTACGAGCAAACAAAACACCGCAGCCTAGAGTTGGAGGGCTTTCCCTACACATGAGCTCCTGAGGACTGCAGGCAGAGAGAGGTATTTCATTTTGTGTAACCAGGACTGAGCACAAACTCCAATCTGTTTCAACACCTGTTTCCACTGAATGCAATTAAAGTTCTTACAGCAGATTCCTACTTGGCCACTGTATTTCAGGGAAGATGACTGTGTGTGACACACTGGAACCACTATAATGTTATCTGATGTCAAGCCACAGTGATACTCAAGAATATGATCTCAGGGACCTCACACGCCTAATGGATTTAAACTGGCTGTGCAAAAACTAATAAATAAAAAAGACAGTGTCTGTGTTTCAGACATAAGAGAGCATCTAACAGTTTTGCACCAGCTAGTCATACATCAGTAAACAGCCCTGGAAGGAACACACTTTACTTCAACTTTTAGGAGAAATTATTGCTTTGTATCACCTATCCCTCTGGTGACGACAGTTTTTTTTATCAAATTCATATTTTAATTTTATTTTTTGCGAACCCACGAGTTTAATGAAGGTTACCCTCAGGAATGTGGGTGTGGCCCTTCACAAACGCACTGGCATCTTACCAGTTGCTGCACCACTGAAAAGCTGTCCCTGCCCTCCACAGCCACTGACCCCTGAGAATGCTCAGGGCTAGTGGTGCCACTGAAGGGGAGGTATAGCCGCTGCTCTGCAGGGGTCTTGGAGTCAATCACAGCTGCTGAGAGTTAAAGAGAGCACCGGCCATGTCACACCCACTAGGCAGAATTCCACAGCACTCCAGCCTTTCCTGGGGCTCTCACATTCTTTCCAGCTTTTGGTAGTCTCTGAGATTGGAGGGGTGATATGATGGCCCATTTAGGGCTCAATGCTCAACAGGAACTTGTGTACAATGTATATTTAGAAGTCAGTGGCAGGTATTTCATGTCCTTAGCAAATAACAGCAGTAGCTTCCCCAAAAGGACGCATGACCTTCCCAGTCATGGGCTTCTGACCAGGCTTATAGTACCAGATAAGAATTTCCTCCTGGTGAGGAGGGCTCAAGTCCATCAGAAAACAGTTGGTAACCCCTATTGGAGTCATGCCTCTCTTGCACCAGTGGGCGCATCCTGCTTGGTAGGTCAGGAGTACAGCACACAGGGTTGAGTATGACTATAATGTCATCACTCTAACAGCCTGTGCAGCATCTTCCAGCACTATGACGGCTACAGCATGGAGACGATTTTAGCTGGGGACCAGCCTGAGATTTCTCTAAGTCTTGTATAGTTTTATATTAAATGATTCTTTGCTATAGCTTTTTTTTCTATTCATACTAGATAATGTCATTTTTCATTTGAAGCGGGACTATATCATTCGTAGCTTTTGATAGCTATAAGCATAATTATGTATTAAAATGTCAATGCAGAAAATGATTTACCATATTGATTCATATAATGCTATAGTAGAGCAAAAGATTCTTTGGCTTCCCTATTGTGCTTATAATTTCAAGTAGAAAAAAAATTGCTATAAAGAGAAAGTATCATTGTACAGGGCGTCTGGGGAGAATGGAAAACTTCTGTGTTTGTGATTGCCTATGCAAGTTATACATAAAGAATGGAGAACTGTGTGAGATCGCTTACACAAGTTATACATACATTAAGAGTGGAGAACTTCTATGTCTGATCGCCTACACAAGTTATACATACACTAACCAACACAGGTATGAATAATTCCTTCTTTGTAACACAATTGTAACTTGAACAGTTCAAAAAGCCTGCTGAGGAATTATACACACAGACCAGTAATTGCTAGGCATCCATGAGACTGGTTCTGGCACCCCCAAAAGATACTATACTGACACTCTTATCCTTCATATAACATGGGGGATTAGCATACAACCCACGAATATCTTCACTTATACTTTGAACATCTCTGTTATAAATAAAGCACTCTGTAAAGAGACACACTGTTTAGGGAATAACAACATAAACTTTTTGCCCACCACTTTTGAGCCATGATTGGCTGAGCTTATGGAGATAAACCCACTGATACAGAAGGACAATATATGTTAATATAGGGATTCCTCAACAAACTAATCAGTAATTATGCCTGTCTAGTAGCAATTATAAGAACAGTGGGCATATAAAAGTCACGGCTGACTCTGGGATGATCACACTGTCAGAAACGCAACTCTATCTGCTGACTTTCATTTGCTCAGTGAGAGACCAAGAGTGATCCATGGAGCTGCATGCCAGCCACATTTCTCCAGAGTTCAAAAGAGTGCTCAATAACTTTTTACAGAGACAATAATGTTGTCTATTTGGAGAAAAGTTTAACAATTCTTTAAAAGTCACCAGTGCATAGTTTGCCATGAATTATATTCAAAGTGATGATGATGATGATGATGATAATGATAATAATAATAATCTAGATTTGTATGTCATTGCCCACAAAAAAGGCAGTCACCATCATGGTTGTTATTACTGCCATTGTCATCATCCTTATTATTATTGGATTTTGGAGATGGTCTAAGTACACAGCCTAGGTTGGCCTTAAATTCAGGATCTTCCCACCTTAGCTTTCTGAGTGCTGGGATTATAGATGTTCACGCAACCCATTTAGAATGGCATCTGGAATTAGTTTTTGGTCGCTCGCATACAAGAAGAGATCCACTTCCTTTTCAGATGCTGATTTTGGGGAGCACAGTGAATTAGTCATCCCATGATCAGGTTTTGATCTGGACCATGCTGGTGTCTTCTATCTTGTACTAAAATAGGGATTACAAGGCTATTCTTTAACTATAGCAGGAATATAAGAACTAACCAAATGCAGGAGGAAGATCTATCTGCTGAGAGACAAGTAAACTCAGAATTTTCTTTTGCTAACATATGTAGAATCCTAATGGTGTTTCAGCAACAATTCTCACAAACAAACATGATTACCGTGTGATACAATCCTCTGCCTGCTTCTCACTGTTCATCTTGTGATACAGCACAGCAGCCACAGCCAGGGGGCCTGCATCGCCACACAGGAAGGTGATGGAACGCTTGCTCAAACAGTTTAGGCTTTGCTTTACATAGCCGTGCGCCATCTGCAAGTAGGCAGGGTCCCCAAACACATCATAGAGATGTAAGTAAAGCACAGCGATGCCTGGAATGCAAGAGAAAGCAAGTGGAGATGAGGACAGGCAGCACACTGTGTTACCCTGCTGTGCTACCACCCATCTGGGTGGAACTGGACAAGCTATGTGACTTTCTAGCCTCAGCTCTGTTGACTGTGAATCAGCTCTAAGAAAAATGCAGAGGGAATCACTTGTCTTTCGATTCCTCACTGTTAGATTCTATTAAGAAATGAAGATTTTTTTTAAGACTTCTCCAAGACAGACATATAGACACAGTGACCATTATTAATCTTTTTTGGTTGATGGATTATTAATTAACAAAAACAAGGTTAATTAGTAATGAACAAGAAATATGTTCATTTTGACATAAAGCAATTTAGAGCAAGGGATGAAAAAGCCAACTTCTCATTAAACAAAAGGAAATTCTTTTGTGTGTGACAAGCTAGTTTGTGTCACCAAATCCTACACTCTGGTTTCCTTGTAGGAAGGCCTTGGACACTGGAAAAATACACTCAAGTCTTGTAATAGTTTTCCTGTCAAGGGTTGTCTCCTCTGCCACCATGCTATTTTGGAGACTAATGTAAGGGTGCCAATAACTTTGTTGTGGTCCGCACTTCTTCGTTCCTGTGCACCCCTAGAGCCTACAGAGTAACCGAGGCAATATCTGTGTGTCCTTGTCACAGGAGACAGAGCTCCCCCTCGGAAGCAGCTCAGTGAGAAGCAATCAGAGACATGGAGAAGGGGTCTGTCTGCCTAAAGCATTTCCAGAAACATTTTCCTGTAAAGTACATTTTCCATCTCATTTACCATTTTTAGAAGACACACAGCCTATGTTTAAATCTAAATTAATAGAGCCAATCTTTTCATGGATTTCAGTGCAGTAAAAATGCAGTCTGCAGAATTACTTTTTACTGTACTGAGAACAGTTTTAAATTCAGATCCTTCTCATTTTGCATGGGTAATCTCCAAAGCTTTGTGTTACAGACAATTCAATTTCACATGTATATTAAAGCCAAATTTTCATCTCTTGCCAAAGTTAATAACCTTGTCTGCTCTCTCAAAGTGGCGCGGTGTTAGTAATTCTGAAGTTGATGAGCAGATGGAACGACGATGCTCAAGGTCTGTAGACAAGTGTACAGAACCACGTATGTGGGAGGAAAAATCTCCTTTTCACAAAAGATCAGCGTCAAGAGCTTCTTCCAGAATTACATCCTTAATGGGCTTCATCGCCACCCACATCACGCACCTGCTGGCAACCCACTTAAACTGTTGGCCTTTTACTTCCCCACTTATCCCACTGCTGCCTCAAGACCTCCCCTCCCCGCCGCCTCCAATTAAGTGATGTAAGCACCAAGGCCAGGTAATAACATGAGAAAATAAGATGATTTAATACAAGTTCAGTGGCTGTTTTCCTTTTTCGATTCTTGTCTCACGATCATTAGTTCCTTTTGTCTTAAGCAGTTAACAAACAAACCTACTATGAATACAAGTGAAGGACGTGATGCACTCCTCGTGAAAATCCAGCAATCCTTTGGACGGTTCTTTTCTGATGAGCATAGAATCATTTCTTCAGCTTCTTGGATTCCACGGCCCCAGGTTCCATTTCCCTCTTCCCCCTGTTGTGGGTGGGCCCTGGTGTCATATTTCGATTAGCAATCTGTTCGTAGAGTGTGTGGTTTCTTCTTACACAAAGCGCCATGGATGGAGAGGGCTTTTTGTGCTGAATACTGCTAATGTCCTTGGGACTGCTTGTGAACTGGCTCGGTCAGATATATTTCATTTCTCCTCAACGTTTTTAAATTTAGTAATAGAAAAAGTGGGTAAATAAATTCTCTGGGGCTAAATGTCTTGAGCCTGATCCTCAGACAGTAGGCACAGGCGTTTGCAGATAGCAAAGACTCAAAGATAGCAGGCAAAGTGGATGCTTTGCATCAAGACACAACCTGTGGCCCTGATAATAAACAGTCACAGGTCTGGCCTTGGCTGAGGCCTTAAGCCTCCTTCTCAAAGTGCAAATGCTGTTCTGGAAGTACTAGAGCACCGCAAGGCTGAGCATACAAACTCCGGTCCCTTCCTTGCCCCACTCCCGCCTTCCAGAGGCAGCTACCTTCCATGACTTCATCTGCTTGTTTGATTCTCTCTCTCTGCCTCCAAATTTCTGAGAAAGCCTATGTGTTATTTGTTAATTCTTTCCATTTCAGAAAACTGTTTTTTTTCAAATTTCCATTTGGAACAGGGAGATTTACCTCTAATAACAGAGGGGCAGAGTGGTTCTTCAATGTATACCCATTTCCGCTCAACAACCATACCCTAGATTTCAAGGTAGCATAAGTGTACAGCAGGAGATGGCCTCTGGCTAGGCTCTCACCAGTATATGTCCTTTCTTCTACCTTCTTCCTGTCTGGAATGCAGATGTGATGGCATGGTCAAGCAGGAACTGTAGACCATGAGTTGGAAATTGTATTAGGATGCTGGAGATGCACAGAGACGGTGGCTTACTGCCCTGAGAGCTAAAACCTGACCGCGCCAGACAGACCCTATTCTGTCTCCGTAACACAAGAGGGAAAACTTCTGTCTTATTAAAGCCACTATTATTTAAGTGTACTGCCACAAGTTTGTAAGACCAGTTGTAAAGAACAGAGTTCTTTTTCAAAGCTAGAGAGGTAGCAAAGCTGTATCTCAGGTTTAGCCAGTGATGACTGTTTAATTTGGAATGCATCATTTTAAACACAACAGCTTAAAGTTATTTAAAAAAACAAATTATTATAGCTGCCCGGTAGGGTTGGAACAGAGGATATCCAAGTGTAGCGAGGAGGACGGTACATGAGTAGGGGTGAGACACAGGGCAGGGGTGAGACAGACTTGCAGTGAGAATGAACCTGACTGGGAGGAAAAAGCAGCAACACTTCATAGGGGATGACTGACAAGCAGATTCCATGACGGCTCCCTAACATCCTAGTTCCACAACCGCGTGGGTACCACCAGCATGGCAGCACATGCAAGATTACCACTGTGTCCATGGAGAAACACACCTTCAAACACACTTCAAGTCTTTAAAGGACACTTAACATCATGAGGAAAACTAGCTCTATGATAACAGCATGTACTGACTGGTTTTGGGAGCTTCAGTTGAGAAATGCCTCAGTGAGATGCACTATAAGGCTTTTTTTCTTTAGTGATCAATGGGGAAGGACCCAGGTCACGGTGGGTAGTGCCAACCCTGGACAGGTGGTCCTGGGTTCTGTAAGGAAGCAGGCTGAGCAAGTTATGGGAAGCAAGGCAGCAAGCATCACTCCTCCTGTTCTGACCTCTGGGGGCAGAGAACTCTTCTATACAGAAGCCACCTGGCCTTGCACAAGCCTTCTCGAGTCCTCTGGCTTCATCTGTTCACCTCCTGTTAAGCAGGCAAGCATGCTAACCCAGGACTATCAGGTGCTCTGGGAGTCTGGGGGGAAGTTCAGGCCAAGGGTGAGAGAAGCCAAGGTCTCAGTGATCAGCAGAGCAGACATGGTAAAACTTGTCAGCTAATTCCTGAATTCTTGTCTCAACTTGACCCGACCCTGGGGCTGTGATGAACTGAAACACATCCTAAGAGATAAGAACAGAACTGAATTTTCATTCTTTCTCCCTTGCACCTAGTTCAAGTAGTCAGTTTGGGTTACATAGTGGCAGAGAGTGGTGCTGGAGCTGCACTCCCTACAGGCATTTTTAATAAACACCGACTATGGGCACGGCGCTATGCTGAGTGGAGTTCCCTGCAATGGGAATAGCAGGCCCAGCTGCAGCCTTTTCAGTGTTGTCTGCAATGGTCATTGCTTACGTCAGCCTGATTTCCTATCTACCACCCCCACCCCACCCCATCTCTCTCTCTCTGTGTGTGTGTACACGTGTGTAGGCTCAAGGCTGAGGTCACAGGTTTTTCCTCAACTACTCTCTACCTTATTCACTGAGTCAGGGCTTCTTAACTGAATCCATAAGATGAATTTCCCAGACTGCTCTGGGAATCTGTGTCCACACTGAGAATGCTAGAATTACAGGCGGCCGTCACACCAACCTAGAATTTACGTGAGCGCTAGGAATCTGAACACTGCTTCCCATCCTTGTATGGCAAGCACTTTATCCATCCAACTGAGCCATCTCCTCAGTTCCCTTTCTACCATGTACTCTGATTTGCTTATGAACACTGTCCCCGCTCTCTGTGCTCCTCTTCAGCGCCCTCTGGACATCTAACCCTACACTCGTTTCCAATGAGTGCCTTAGTACCATAACCTGCAGTACAATGGCATCATCATCATAAACTTCCATGTGTAACTCGGAAAGGCAACAGACCACACGCCTGGCACCGTTACCTCGCCAGTGCTTGGTGGGAAGGGCTCTAGTGAACCCAGTGCCCATCCATAACCAATGGCACTCAGTGGCTTAGAGATGGGCACTTCTCATGAAGGTGAAGGGACATCCGCTTAGGGCTCAGAGGCTGAACTGCTGGCTCTGGTACGAAGTGTCTAACAAAGAGAGGTCAATTTACACAGAGAAGACAACTGGCCAGAATGACTTCTTTCAAGTAAATCTCGTGTCAGTGGTGACTGAGCCACATGCTAACGTGGCAGCTGACAGCTCCGCACCGGGCACATCAGAGGAACGGCATCTTGAAATACTAATGACCTGCGTTTAGAGCCCAAGTTCATATTACTCTAGGGACCGCGCTGCAGCTCCTCGTAGTTAAAACGTTATCTAATGCTTGAGGAGAGGACATGCATGCCAATTGCAGCCTCATTAACTGGCTGAGTTGGTTAACAGGAGCTTAGCCCATGGCTTTCAGAGCTGAAGCCCCTCGAGTCCTCTGTGCAAATGGCTTTTTCTCCTTTAAAGTGTAAGTTGATCACTATTTCTCTGAGGAATCACCACAGTGAGGAGTGGGGGGAAAGTGACTTTTCATGAAGGCTGGCACTTTTTGCCATGTTTCCTAAAAGACATCAGTGAAATCAGCCCTCCCTTGGGTTTACTTAACTCTCTGCTGCATCTGTCAGAGAAATAGGGTTTCCTAGTCAATGCCTACTTTTAACAGAGACTCGTCCCTGTCCATTAACCCTTCATAACAGTAACACTTTACTAGTCTTTTGTGACTTCAACTCTGGATGCCATTCGAAGATCTATAGTCTTCCCTGGAACAAACGGCAGCTCAGCCCAGAGACATGTATTATAGTGCTATGTCCTCTGCAGTGTCCTACACATCGCTGGGCCCATCACAGAGCCAGCAGCTGGCTATGGGTCTCGTTGCATGGTTCTCCTCCTGTTGTTTTCTGTATCTAAGTAACCTACATGCTTCCCAAACAGTCGGTGTGCTGGGAGGGGACGGCGACTGTACACACACCTGCTGACCTCAATCACTGCGCATTAGCCTTCAGTGTAATACTTTATAAAGGGGGCCCGGTGGAACAACTGAGGCTGTTCACTTGAAACACCGCTTCTTAGCAGCGACCACCTGAGTTCAGATGGATGAGCACTCACTTGAGAAGATTCGCAACAACCATTTCCAAATACAAGCCATAATGAGAAGAATCTTCTTTGGATCAACTAATGTTTTATTCTGAATCTACACTAAGTAAGTGTACCTGTAGGGTCTAGAAATAGGAAAACACATTTATACAAAAGAATGCCAGAGACTACAGAATTTTTTGCTCCAAATGCCGAGAAGAACTTCCAGGATTTACTTGATGTCTAATCATCAGTTACGTACTTGCAGGCTTAATAGTAATTACCCTTCCCTCTGCTGCCTTGGTAACAAGGCTTGTTTCTCAAATTATTTTCATATTTTCTAAAAATAAAATACTGAACTCTGATTGGTCATAAGCAATTCTCAAATGTTGTACAGTACAGGTATCAGGTTGTCATGGCTCAAACTATTCTGTCTCAGACATCTTAGGAAAATCTCACTGGGTAGTGTTGGCACACACCTTTAATCCCAGGACACGGGAGGCAGAGGCGGATGGATATCTGTGAGTTCAAGACCAGCCTGCAGAGCAAGAACCAGGACAGGCTCCAAAGTTACAGAGAAACCCTGTCTCAAAAGAAAAATAAAAAAATAAATAAAAATAAAGACGACGACGATGAAGAAGAAAAGAATCTCCCCTTACAAATGCACACAATGAACACAAATGCAGTAGCTGGTAGGAAACGTGCACAGACTCACTCAACAGGCAGAGGACATGACTCATCAAGTCGCCTGCTGGTTCTGTAACCCAAGAACTTTGCCTTGCTCTGCTTCCATTTTTCAGCTGACATGGAGGCCCTCTATAGACTCTACACTGGGGAGACACAGGCAGAGCAGAGGATTAAAGGAAAACTCTTGGGATGGGATCTGCTCTCCCCACGAGGACGGATGGCCGTGCACTTTCTCACCCCGCCATGTGAAGGTCAGTGACTGACACTAGTAGCTGTGCTCTGACCTTTACTTTTTTCCCCAGGGTCATGGAATTTTGCTTTTCTACCTCAAGTGTAGAAGAATAAATGCCAGGGGTGTGAGGCTTACTGATGGCATCTCATGGGTACATTTAAATTCAACTGAAACCACAGTTAACACTCTCAGTCCATTTTAAAGCCAAGATAGTCCTTGCAGAGCACAACAGGGTGGAAAGCGAGGCCTGCCCCCTTTCCTCCTCTCCCACTTCTTTAGTGTATCTGTGTGGAGTGTGCATGTGTTTGCACACATGTAGACCTGTGTGTGGAGGACAGAGGTTGACGGCAGTCATTTTTCTTGGCCCCTTATACGTTATTTGCTGAGAGAGGGTTTCTTGCTAAACCTACAGCTGGTAGGTTTGGGTGGTCTAGCTAGCCACTGTGCCTAAGGATACCATCTCTACCCTTCCGAGTGCTAGAATTACAAGAAAGTGCTGGGTTTGGGATGATTACCAGCAGGCTGCTATGCTCTCTCGGTTTATACTGGGAGCCGGGGAACTCCAGTCCCCACGCTTGGGAAGATGCCCTTTACCCTGAGCCATCTTGCCAGCCCCTTATTTACTTCAAGTTTTGTTTAACCAAGGACACAGTAACTCTTACTAATAACTTATTTTGTAAACATGTGGATACTCCAAAGTTTACTCTTGGGCGAGCCAGCATTGACTATCAGATGGCACTATTAGGCAGGATCAGATGGAAAGCTCGTAATTAATTATAATGGTTATCTTCCAAAGCATGCATCACACAGAGGTGCCCGGGCAGAAAGCTGAAGTACCATGTCCTTTTTTTTTTTTAAGTCTCAAGTTTCACTGAGAACTAGGCAGTACTTACGACTTCACACTCTGAAATATTTCTCTATAATAGGCTTTATGGAAAAAACATTACATGTAAAATGAAGACTTTTTTTTTTCCAAAAGAAGAAAATTGTTTTGAGTTCCTTTGTAAATGAAGAGGGGAAAAATATTGTTTACCTGATTTAAAAATATTTTAAGACATTCGTACATTCACTCTTACAAAATTCCTGACCAAAGTAGACAGACCTTAGAGAAAATTTGCAGATGGAAAAATAAAAGGTAGGACCAGGTCCAACTGGCTGCATGACACATAACTAAGATAGTTTTGTTCTAAGATACTCTGCGTATCTTTTATCTGGAAGTCTACATTCTTCTCTAAGGAGATCCAGCTAGCAGACTACATGAGCCACACCTTCTTTGTAACAGCAGTGATCCTGAGAGGGCGCACCAACCTACAAACACTGCACAGGATTTGAGCCCTGAGCAGAGTAGCCGGAAATCTTTTTAAGGGAAGGGAATGCATTTTCCTTTTGCTCTCTTTCCTTATAGCTGCCAGAGAAGCTGAAGTACCATGTGGCCGTTAGCAGCCATGGTGACCAAGAGGCGGAACTAGTGTCTGAGGACTGACAAAGCAGCAGAGGAGCAAGGCCCTTAACACCCTAGGCTACTTACTGTCTCAGCCTTCAACTTTCCTCATGACTTCTCCACGGGACAAACAGAAACACAGTGTTTAAACGGATGAATCCAATCCATTCCAAATCCCCACTCCACCTGAATCAGAACTAGGTACCGGCCATATTTCCACTAGAGAATAAGATAGTAACTTAAAGTTCTAATTAATTATAATCATTCTTGACTCACATAAACAACACTGTAATATAAAGACAACTTTTAACAGCTTTCCCTGTCCACTGACAACAGATGTTCAATAAAAGTCAGTGGTAAAGAAATTTGTGGATAACTTAGCAAAACAAGCAGCAATAAGGTAGTGTTTATAAGGTCCTAAGTTGCAAATTTCTTGCTGAGCTAAGCCAAAATGAAGTACCTTGTTATTTAAAAAACATCATTTTTAGAAAAATACCTGGGCACACACAAGTCACATACAAGGGTGCATGCCATCAGGTAGTCACTGCTGCGACACACAGTACCACGTTGTTCATCAATGCAGCGCTCAGGAAGAAACTAGCTGTCACTAGACAGTAGCCCATAAACTGTAAGGTTATAGAAGGCTTAGACGATTTCCTGTGGTCAAATCGGCATTCTAACCTAATCAACTCAGACTGAATTCCGGCACAGGACAGCCTTTTATGTATCAGAACGCTGGAGATGATTTATTTTATGTGGGATAATGGCACTGTAACAGCGTTCGATGAGGGGATACTAGGAACCTTGCCTCAAAAGCCATTAGCAAATTTATCTACAAGATTTTATGCCTCCTCAGAAACCCACTAGCAGCTGAAGATATCCTCACTGCTCAGTGTGCCAATCTGACTCAGACGCTTGTCATGGAAGCTGCTTCCCTGAGTCAGCATGGAGAGTGGGCTGCTTGAGACTAAGACAGTGACAAACACAGACAAAAATCTTAAACCAGGCCCATTTCACTTTGGAGAAAAAACTCTGCTGAAGGAAGTGTGACTTCGAGCGTCTGAACTAACCCTGGAAATTTGTGTGTTTGATGGACGGCTTCTCCTGACCTAGTCAAGGAAATGTGACTTCGAGTGTCTGAACTAACCCTGGAGATTCAGGGTGTTTGATGGATGGCTTCTCCTGACCTTGTCAAGCTTGTCATTCAAACCAGAAACCAGTTAGCGACCATCTCTCCCCTCCCCTAAGCGAAGTTCTTTACAATGATATGTGCCCATGGGAATGGGTGACTTAGGGATTTAAGTCCTCTTTTGTAAGCTGCCCTGGAACTATGTCTGGCCATCTGTCTTAGGTCAGCCTGTGCCTCTTTCTCTGGCCAGAGACAATAAAATAAACTTCATAAATAATGGAAACTTCTAATGTTTTAGGAAAGCATCTGAGTCTAGGCCTGTAGTACACAACCTGACAGGGAAGGCCATGCCATGGCACCTGCGCAGGGGGCTTATTCTGCTTCATCCAAATTCTGTTCATTTAAAATAAGATGGCAAAGGTCTTTATTAAAGAGACGAGTCTGTCAATTACAGCAAAGCTGAATTACAGCAGGTAATAAATGACACGTTGAGAACTTCCTTCCCGACACAACACACTTTCATCTTACTCTCTGTTACTGTTTCCTATGTTCACCTTCTGAAATACTTAACACGTTGAGAACTTCCTTCCCGACACAACACACTTTCATCTTACTCTCTGCTACTGTTTCCTATGTTCACTTCTGAAATACTTAACAAACTTAAAACTCAACTGTTTGGCCCAACATTATCTTGCTTTAGGCTATGTCTTCAAATCCCAGCACTTGCAAGGCGAAAGCAGGTGGATCACTGTGAGTTTGAGGACAGCCTCATCTACATAGTGAGTTCCAGGACAGCCAGGACTGTTACACAGTGAGATGCTGTCTCCTTCCCTCTAATTTATATATTTCATCTGTCATCCCCACTTGCACGGAATCTTGTGAGTTTGCTGCTGGCAGTCTCTCAGACAGCAGCTCTAGGTAGCAGTCTACATCAGCTTCCACATGTGCTTGCAAAATGCACATTCCTAGCTTCAGCTATGAATCACTGAGACGCTCTGCTGTGGAGCCCAGGAACCTGCATTTTCAGAGCCAAAGTCCTAATGCTCAAAATGGAGCCTCCCTACTATTAAAAGCGCATGGGAGACGCTGTGCCCCCAGACTGTGTCCTTCAATATTCTGACAGCACCCTCCTGTCTGCAGCAGGGAGGTAGCCATGGTCTCTTGGCTCTCCTTTGCTTTCTCTCTCACTTCCAGTTTTTCTCTTCACAAGAACAGTAAACACCCCAATGCCAGGCATGAATACCCACAGTGTGCTTGCCCCCTCACTGCTTAAAGAATGCTCACACAAAAGGTGACTGTGCGGTGGGGAGCACTGCACCCCCAGGAGGGCCTGCAGGCTGCGCACACCTAACTGCTGAGGGCAGGGCCTGCTTTGGCTCTCACCAGTGTACATGCTGGCTTAGTCAACGCTCTATACCTGCCCAGCCGGTGTAGCCAGTGCCATCCCGAGGATCTGCTGACTTTAGGCCTCTTTCCATTTGCTGAAGGAGCTCACGGATCTTATTGGTTAAGCGCTGTGAGAACTCGGGAGTCAGCTGTAGAAATTAAAGAACAACATTTTTACAAAGAGTAGAAATCAATCACATTAACAGAGTTAATGGTACCTTCATGATGACATTTTCTATTTATGGAAATAAAATATTATCATGTAAAACTTAAAGCAGCCCTAAAGGTTTAGGTTTTCCAGAAACCACATAGGGGGCACATACTATTAAAACCAGTATGTTTAAAAGTTACCATGAGCCAGGTTAGGTCAGTGCATGTCTGCAAGCCCAGCATTTGGGAGACTGATGCAGAAGGTCAGCTACTTTGAGGATAGCCTAGGCTTTACAGTCAGACCCTGTGTCAAAAGTAAAGACCAGGCTAGCTTTGAGCTCAGAGATCCCCTTTCCTCTGCCTCCTGAGTGCTCAGATTAAAGGTGTGTTTCTTTGTAGCAGGTAAAAGTCATGTTCTTAACACAAGGCATAGACACCCATTAAATCTCAGCTACTGAATTCTAGCTGTGACAATGTTAGTCCCCTTAGGAAATATTCTACTTGTTTCTGTTACTTTTAAGGATGGATAAAGCTGCAGCATTTAAAAAGCAAAACATGTCAGTGATTATCAGAAACTGCAAGGACAAATGTCAAGGCTATGAGGCCCTTGCCCAGCATGGAGTGTAACCAGAAGAGGCCTGGCTGTGTCCCTCCTCACCTGTTACTGGCCTACTGCCCTTGCTTAGCTCCTGACTTCTTTATACAGCAGCTACCTTCCTGGAGTTGGAGGGACACACCTGCCCCATGGTTTCTTGCAGGCCACCCACTCTGTGCCAAGGGTGTACTGTAATGCTGGGGTCCTGGGGTTAGTGACACCATGTGAGGAACTATAGAACTGATGGGCAAGCTGAGGTTCACAAGTCATATTCCTAACGGCACGTTCTTTAATTTTATCAGATTTTTTATTATTATATATGTATGGGTTTGTGATAGTTTGTGCAATGTGTGTGTCTGGTGCCTTGGGAGGCCAAAGACGGTGTCTGGTCCCCTGGAACTGGAGTTACAGACAGTTGTAAGCTGCCATGTGGGTGCTGGAAATAGAACTCAGGTCCTATGAAGAGCAACAAGTACTCTTAACTGTGGAGCCTCTCTTCTGCCTCTTGCAAAGGCATATTCTTTATGAAGGACCTGGAAAGCATTTTCAAAGTACTAAACACGCCAATGACTGAGTGCCTTAAAAAGTCATTTCAATGTATCAACTAGTCAGGAACTTGTTATGACTTCATATTGGGTTTCCACAAAACCAGTAAGATTTAAAACAGGGCTGAGGAACACTACAAGTGGAGAAATATGCTTCATCATGGAAAGGTTGTAATATCAAACCTTCACCAGGCACCACCAACGTCTCCATTTCGTTATCCTGAGTCTGGTGTGTGTCCTGCTCATGCACACACATGACAAGCTGTTATTCTGAGTCTGGTGTGTGTCCTGCTCATGCACACACATGACAAGCTGTTATGCTGAGTCTGGTGTGTGTCCTGCTCATGCACACACATGACAAGCAGTTATTCTGAGTCTGGTGTGTGTCCTGCCCATGCATACACATGACAAGCTGTTATTCTGAGTCTGGTGTGTGTCCTGCTCATGCACACACATGACAAGCTGTTATTCTGAGTCTGGTGTGTGTCCTGCTCATGCACACACACGACAAGCTGTTATTCTGAGTCTGGTGTGTGTCCTGCTCATGCACACAAATGACAAGCACAGGGGCGGAGAGAGGACAAGCGCAGGAGTCAGGTCTCTCCTGCTTGCGTCCTTACCTTGCCTGGCAAGCGCTTCTCAGCAAAGCCACATCAAGGCCCTTACAAGCTCACTTTAAAGAAGAACATCTTGCATCTTGGATTAGGGAAAGGCTCTGATAGTAAAGTGCTTGCTTAACAAGCATGAAAGCCTGAATTTGACCTCTAGAACCATGAGTAAGAGTAAGGCATGCTGGCACGTGCTTACAGCGGGGCATGCTGTTGCATGTTTACAGTGGAACATGCTGTCATGTACTGACAGCTGGGCATGATGGCACATGCTTATAGCAGGACATGCTGGTATGTGCTTATACTCTCAGAGCTGGGGAGGAAGAAACAGGCTGATTCCTGGGGCTCACTGGACAACCAGTCATGGCCTACCTGGCAAGCTCCATGCCAGAGAGGCCCTATCTCAAAAAGCAAACAAAACAAAACAAAAAAGAGCTCCCAGGGAGAACAGACACTACCCTCTAACCCTGACACATGCGTGCCTCCCTGCACACAGATGAACACATACTTTGGCAAAAGGTTAGCACTTCAACAAGACTTGAAACACATTCAGTAAGGTACAATGGACATTAATGTTAATATAAAAAGGTCTGTAAGTCTCACAGAGGCCGAGGGGTAACTCGATGTGACCACAGCCATCTTCTGAACACAGACTATGTATAATTCATGGTCCTGACCGGCCCGAAACTAGGAGGCCATAGTGAGAACACTGTGGCCCCGGGACAGGAGTCATTTTCTCCTAGGCACACACACACATTTAAGGAGGTGACCTGCCTGAAGATATTGACTGTGGCCAAAACCCATCACAGAAACTGCAAGTGTAAAGAGTCCCTGCAGATGACAGGAAGCTCCTCCCCTAGCCCCGTGTTAACAGCAGGCAGCAAGGGCTCTGGGTTTGACCTTTTGGAGTCAACATTAAAGAACTTTTTTTTTTTTTTAAAAAAAAAAGAATGCCGCTTTCTTTGTAAGATTCCCAGACTATATTCTACTTATGTCACCTTGTATTCGGGTTTGGAGTTGGATTTGTCTTTTGCGACACATCTCTTTAATTCCAGTACTTAAGAGGCAATGGTAGATGGACCTGGGTGAGTGTGAGGCCATCCTAGACTTCACAGTAAGTTCTGGGGCAGCCAGTGCTACATAGTGAGACACTTTAAGAAATAAAAGAACGATTTTAGTGTTGAGAGTTGAAGTGGTGGCTCACACCTATGATACTAGAACCCAGGAATCTGAGGCAGGAGGATCATTTTGAGTTAAAGACCAGCCAGTTTGGGTTACAAAGTAAGTTTTAGCTTAGCAGTTCAAAAATCTAAAGAAAATGGGCCAAGATGTTTCAGCGCACCCAAAGCATTAGCCATGAAAGCTTGACTAATCAGCATTTGATCTCAGAACATGTGAAAAGCTGAATGTAGCAACCCACACCTTAACCCCAGTATGCCTACAGCAAAACGGGGCGCAGGGACAAGAGACACCCAGAGGCCTGTGGTTCAGCTAGCCTGGAATACACTGCTTAGCAGCAGAAATAGTAGACCATGCCTCAACAAGGTGGAAGGTAAGAGCTGACTCTTCCCATCTTTACATGGCTGTAGCATGGATAAGCCTGCCCATCACACACACACAACTAGATACATTCTTTTGAAGCAAAAAAAGTAAAACAAAACCAAAAAATTCATGAATAGAGGTCGTATAATGTATACAAGATATTGACATATAGAGCTACTCAAATCCACACGAATTAAATGAGTAAGAGCACAGATTTATGAGCAGCCTAAGGCCTAGGAGTGGAGTTCCATTACTAGGACGCTTTCTCAAGTGCTCTCTCTACCAAGTCTACATGAAGCAGCACGTCTTCCTCCAACCAGACTGGACTAACTCACAGCTTAGCTTCAGATGTGCAAAGAAGGCAGAACACAGGCCCAGGGCGACAGACCAGTACACACAGCTTTGTCCCAGCAGGCCAATCCAGTCCTCAAATAAGGGACCCCAGCTCCACACACCCGTTAGCACCCTCCCACATGGCATCTCCAATGACGGCCCCTCCTATGGAAGGGCTGACTGAGGAGGTGTTTTCAGAGGTGAGGAGATAGAGCCTCGTAAAACCGACAGGTATGAACCCCACTCAGCTACATAACAGCACCTAAAAATGTATCTTTGCGGCGTTGACAAGTTTCCAAGAAATAAGCTGGTAAAATTTTTAAAAATCTATGGCCACTGAATACAGCAGCATTCGCTTTTAATCCTAGTACTTGTGAGGCTGAGGTGGGAGGTCAGTGATTTCAAGGCCAGCCTGGGCTACACAGGGAGCGCACACTCTTCAGCTCCCTATCTGGGACTTGCCAAAACTAGGTATTCTTTCCAATACGCCAATCGCCAGAAAGGCAGGAGGAAACAAGCCCCTGGTGCTGCACCCCAGGCTCTCTTCTCCAAGAGCCCCGTGATGCTCAAAGCAGTGTTAAGTACGAATGATTTTTCTAAACTTTGGCTCCCCACTCTCGGCTTTAAAGATAGCTTCGAAAAAAAAACGTAAAATTACAAAAGATTTCAGGCCTGTCGGTGACATTTCTCTCAGCACCCTCCCTTTATGGACATCCTCCCGACAGGCCCATTTGCTCGAACTATTCCGCCCAGACTTGCGCACACTCACTAAGGAATAACATGGCACGGGGGAAGAAATACAACCAGGTCCCTCGCTTCCCTTAGCGCCACTTAGGGAGGGAACTTCGCGGACAATCTTTACAAACGACATTCCCATAAAAGAAATACCTGAGTCTATTTCTTCCACTGTTAATGAGGTTGACATCGGTTTTTATCCCCTACCCAGTACATCCTGACTTAGATCCTTATGTAAGCCTGCTCGGGTCGCGCATCCCGGGCAGGGGATGGCTGAGCGCCCCCATCTCCCAGGCAGGAGTGAGGTCCTTGGAGACCCTGGCGTGGGGAAGGGGTGGACGGCAAGGCAGGCAAGCCTCAACTCACCCTCCCGCTAGAATCGAAGTAGCCTTCGGCCAGGGACTTGTTATAATCGGCATAAGGATTCGGAAAGGCCCTCTGAGCCATGACGCCGCTGGCGAACCTGCAGAAGAGGGGGAAGAGAGATCTCGAGTGGAGCCGGGGCTCGGCGCGGGGACGCGATCGCGACGGCGGGCACGCCGGCAGCTCCTTCCCCACGGGCGGACCCCGGCCCACGGCGGCGCGGCACGCACGCGGGACGGCGGCGGCCGCGGCTCTCAGCCCCGAGGGAGGAAGGGAGCCCGTTTTCCACCCACGTCCCACGCCCACGAGTCGGGGGCACAGCAGACGAAGGGGCCGGCGCTTCTCTTCAGCGGCCCTCGCCACCCGCGCAGCGCCGACAATAACAGACTCGGCGCGTTCACCGCCCACTTCCTGTAGGTCTGACCAATCAGCAGGCACGCTGAGGCGGAGACCCGCCTCCCGACTTCAGGGTCTTAAAGACACAGCGTGCTCTCTGCCGCTTTTTCCTCGCGTGGGAGAGGTGTTGGGGGCCCCACGTTTCCTACGTTCACTTAAAAACACGCTGTTAAAGAAAGCAATTCAGTTTTAGATCCCAGGAGTTCGAAGCCGCGTTTACCTGCAGAAGGAAAGGACTGCTTTCAAATCGAAACACCCTCCCTCTGCAGACACCTTCTGCCCTTTTAATTCCGCTTCTAAGGAGACCCAGAAGTGACAATGGAGGAAACAGCAACATGCAACCTGCACTATCACTGCAAAACAGGCTTAGTTAAATACTTTGGGGACACGTTTTCTTCGAGGCACTGTGGAGGCTGGGGACAAGACACCGAGTGACAGGTGACAAAACATCAGGAAATTTATGCAAAAACTCAAATTTCTGCTCTTAGAAAATTTAGTCTGCTCCTTAGCCTAAATTAGACTCTACTGCTATTTTGAAGCCTTTAAAAAATAAGGACAAAGAATGGAGAGCCATCTCCAGCCTTAACACTGTGGTTGTTTGGAAAGTTTTTGTTGGATGCATTGTGCCCCTCTGTTCAAAGAATGTGGGAGTCAAATTCACATATCTGTCCCTGGCGTGACATATGCCCGGGGTTCAAGGGCTCTTGCAACTCTTGAGCACCAGAGTTTGGTTCCCAGCACCAATACTGAACTGCCTACAATCAACACAACTCCCGAAGATTCAATGCCCTCTTCTGGCCTCAGTGAACACTCTCACACAAGCACCCCCAACATGAGGGGGGAATATAATAAAAAGTTATAAATTGTCATTTCTTTCCTGTCTGTCTTGATTAGTGGGCCTCATACATCCCACTGTTCGGAAACCCTTTCTCATGTGGTCTCTGGTTCTTTGCTGTGAAGTGGCCACCCCAAACTCTGCCTTAGACTAACTTAAACGTTCCAGATTTTTTTTTCTTATCTCTTGATCTCCCAGAAAACTCAGTTCCCTCAGCACATTCATAGAGAGTTAGTGAATATTAAGCTGGACTATGGAGACTTGGAGGAAAATGTCTAAGAGAGGAAAGGAAAGGAGATGGAGGCTTTTTTATCAGCCCTTCTTTCTGTGATTAGGGCAAGCTCAGTCGTGATATCCCATCGCATGCTACATGAGCGACATTTAAACAAGCTAACAGCCTTCAAAAGGAACAACTCAGGAGAACAGAACATTTAATACAAGAAGACGATGCATGAACAGATGACAGTGGACAGAAAGATGAGGGTAACGCAAGGAGGAAGGAAGTCTGAAAGGTGAGTGTTGGTGAATGAAAGACCTGAGAAGCATACATCCATGGACAGTATAATGAGATGCCCATTTCCTGCATCAGCACCGTTGACTCTGGGAACAGAGGCAGCTGTGGTATCCTTTGTCCCTCTGCCTTTTTCCCCTTAGACAGAGTCTCCCTGAGCCTGGAGATCCTTGGCTATTCAGTTCAGTCCCAGAGGTTCTCCTGTGTCCTCTCCCCCAAAGCTGGGATTGTGGGTCTGTACACTGACGTTTATATGGTGCTGGGATCTGAATTCCCACCCTCATGGAAGTGCAGTCAGCACTCTTACCCTGAAGATATCTCTCCAGGCCTAGGCACATGCTTCTTCTCCTCCTCCTTCTTTATTATTATTGTTATTATTAAATTATAACAATTCTATGTGTACCAGAAGTCAACTTCTAGATCATAGGACATTCTCAAAATTAATTCCCCCAACACTGCTATATTGCTTCCTAGAACCCCTGGACTAGTTTATTTTGTCTCTGTTGGGACCTATCAGTTTCTGCCATTTATACTTTTCCAGCATTTATTGTCTAATATTCTAAATTTACCATTTTAATGAACGGCATGGAATTCCGTTGATGTTGAGACCCTCAGGTTTTTGTTGTTGATGATAATAGTGTTGGACTTTTATTCATACACATGCCAGACAACTGAACTTTAGGTATGGACAGTGATTTCTGTGTTTGTTTTTGCCTTATTTTCTTGTCAGTCGACTGGTTTTCTTGGTCTCCTGGCAGGTAGATTTTAGTTACTAATCTCTGGCTTCAGATATTGTGAATATATTCTCCTGTCTCTTAACTTTCCTAGGCTATCAATTAAATAAAACTCAAGCAGCCTTGGCATCATGGTTTCACACTCCCTGAGTCTTTATCCACTCACTGGCTGCAAGGATGACTCCTTGTGTTTTTATGCTCTCACTGAGCACTTTGCCATGGAGCTCAAACAACACAAATTTATTATTATTATTATTATTAAGTTCTGGAGGTTCAAAGTCTGAGATGTTAATAACACACACACAACACACACGCACACACACACACATATGTATATTGCTGTTATAGTTTTCTTGGTTTGCAGAAGACTTATCTCCCACCTCTGTTTTGACATGGTGTGATAGTCAGCCATAGTTGCTAGCTGGGTTCCACCTAGAAACACCTGGGCAAGCTTGTGGGCAATGATCTTGGTTAGGTTAATTAAGGTGTGAAGACCCTTCCACCATGCCTGCCACTGCTTCCTGGGTGGGGGTCCTAAAATGTACATAAAAGGGGAAGTAAGCTGGGCAAAAGCCTTCATCTTTCTTTGTTTCATTATGGAAAAATGGTGAAGACGCGGTAGGCTGTCAGTCTATGTTGTCTGTGTCCTGCCTCCCATGAGGACCCCATCATTTGTTAATTTTCATGACCGATTTAAATATTATCTCTAAATATAGTCATATTGACATATCTGGGGTTAGAACTGCCCTGTGTGGGCATCGGGGCTGCAATCCCACCCATCATGGTCCCTATCTGCTCACCTGTTGTATTTATGATGGTTGAGCACATTTGTGTCTAACACAAGTTTGATTGATAGAATTTCTCAAGGACTTTCCACTTCTGATAAATTTGGAATGATTTTTAACTACGTCTATTTTATAATACTCCTTCTCTTAATTTGTGAACGCATTTCATGTGAACTCTCAGAAAGCATCCTTTCCACCATTGCCCTTAAAATGGGATACCTCCAGAAATCTGGGAAGATAAATACCAAGTAGAGAAAGCCGGTGTCATCTAAGGGTTTGCTACTTCTGTTGTAAGGCCTCAATCTCCAAATGCTACAGCTCATACAAGGATGAAAGCTAAGTCATAGTTATGAAGGAACTGTAAGGACCTGACTTTGCAAACTTCATTTTATTTATTATTTTGTTTTTTATTTTTTTTAAATGAAAATAAATTATCCTTTTTCATTATACATACCAATCTAAGTTCCCACACTCTCCTCTCCTCCAATACCCTCCACCTCCCCCACATCACACCCCCATCCACTCCTCAGAGAGGGGAGGGTCTAAGGCTCTCTCTCTACTATATCTAGGCTGAGCAAGGTATCCATCCAAAGAGAATAGGTTCCTAAAAAGCCAGTACAAGCAGTAGGAATGAATCCTGGTGCCACTGCCAGTGGCCCCTCAGTCTGCCCCAGCCATGCAACTGTCAACCACATTCAGAGGGATTAGTTTGGTCCTATGCTTGTTCATTCCCTGTCCAGCTGGAGTTGTAGCTCTGGTAAACTGTTTCAGTGGGTGTACTCATCATTGTCTTGACCTCCTTGCTCATATTCTCATTCCTCCCACTCTGCAGCTGGACTCTGGGAGTTCAGCCCAGTGCTCTGTGTAGATCTCTGCCTCTGTTTCCATCAGTTGCAGGATGAAGGTTCTATGGTGATATTTAAGATATTCATCAGTCTGACTACAGGACAAGGCCAGTTCGGGCACCCTCTCCTCTATTGCCTAGGGTCTTAGTTGGGGTCATCCTTGTGGATACCTGGTAATTTCTCTAGAGTCATGTTTCTTGCTAAAGCCATAATGGCTTCCTCAATCACGATATCTCTTTTCTTGCTCTCATCTCTGTCCTTCCTCCATCTTGACTATCTCGTTCTCTCAAGTTCTCTTCCTCCTCCCCTCTACCTCCTCTCCCCTTTCCACCCTCCCTTCTCCCCGCACCCTGTACTCCCAATTTTGAATTTTGTCAGGCGATCTTGTCTATTTCTCTTTTCCAGAAGGGTCTATATATGTTTTTTCTTAGGGTTCACCTTGTTACTCAGCTTCTCTAGGGTCATGGACTATAGGCTCAATATACTTTGTTTATAGGTAGTATCCATTTATGAGTGAGTACATACTATCGTCATCTTTCTTGGTCTGGGTTACCTCACTTAGGATAATGTTTTCTAGTTCCATCATTTTCATGCAAAATTCAAGATGCCATTTTTTTTTTTTTTTTTTACTGCTGAGTAGTACTCTATTGTGTAAATGCGCCACATTTTCTTTATCCATTCTTTGGTTGAAGGGCATCTAGGTTGTTTCCAGGTTCTGACTATTACAAATAATGCTCCCATGAACATAGTTGAACAAATGTCTTTGTAGTATGATTATTTTTTGGGTATAATCCCAAGAGTGGTATTGCTGGATCCTGAGGTAGGTTGATTCCCAATTTTCTGAAAAACCACTATACTGATTTCCAGTTAAGTACAACTGCATCAGCTTCCTGATTTGCCCCCTTACTGATCCCGGTGATGGGCAGTGAAGTTGGCTGGATCCTGAGGTAGGTTGATTCCCAATTTTCTGAAAAACCACTATACTGATTTCCAGAGTGGTTGTACAAGCGGTTGACCTGTCCATTGCAGAGAGTGATGTGCTAAAATCTCCTTCTCTTAGTGTGTGGGGTTTGATGTATGGTTTAAGCTTTAGTAATGTTTCTTTTACAAGTGTGGGAGCTCTTGTATTTGGAGCAGAGATATTCAAGATTGAGACTTCATCTCTATGAATTGTTCCTGTTATGAGTATAAAGTGTCCTTCTCCATCTCTTCTGACTTAATGATTTTAGTTTGAAGTCTATTTTGTCAGATATTAGGATAGCTAGCTACACCTGTTTGTTTCTTAGGTCCAT